ACTGTTCTGACATTCTTGGACCTCAAGAAATTAGATTGGCCGTCAGTACTTCAGGATTGATCAATTTTCAGATCTATACCATAGTTTGTGAACTCTATAACTTTCCTAAAAACTAAATAATACATCCTAATTTGGGTTATTTTCACCAAAGACATGTAGCAGAATACACCTCGGCCTAAATTTATGAAGAACAATTATTTATTTGTAAACTTTTATAACAGAAACAAAGAAAAATGTGTTTTTTTTCCAAATTTTTGGTCTTTTTTTTGTTAATTTAGAAAAAAATAAAAACCCCAGTGGTGATTAAATACCACCAAAAGAAAGCTCTAGTTGTGTTAAGAAAATGATAAAATTTTAGTTTGGGTACAATGTTGTATGACCGCGCAATTGTCATTCAAAGTGTGAGAGCGCTGAAACCTGAAAAATGGCCTGGGCAGGAAGGTGTAAAATTGCACGGTATTGAAACGGTTTAAGGAAGGAAGGCAGCAAATGTTGTACATGCTGGTTACAGTGCATTTCTCTCTGAAATTCTGAGGAAAATGGGTCGTTCCAGACATTGTTCAGAAGAACAGCGTACCTTGATTAAAAAGTTGATTGGAGAGGGGAAAACTTATAAAGAAGTACAGAAAATGATAGGCTGCTCAGCTAAAATGATCGCAAATGCTTTAAAATGGCAACCAAAACCTGAAAGACGTGGAAGAAAGCGAAAAACTACCATTCAAATGGATAGAAGAATAGTCAAGATGGCAAGGACTCAGCCAACAATCAGCTCCAGGAAGATCAAAGACTGTCTAAAGTTCCCTGTGAGTACTGTTACAATTAGAAGACGCCTATGTAAAGCCAAGCTATCTGCAAGAAGCCCCCGCAAAGTCCCACTGTTGAAAAAAAGACATGCTGAAGAGGTTACAATTTGCCAAAGAGCACATTGACTGGCCTAAAGAGAAATGGCGCAACATTTTGTGGACTGATGAAAGTAAGATTGTTCTTTTTGGGTCTAGTGGCCGGAGACAGTGTGTCAGACGATCCCCAAACACTGAATTCAAGCCACAGTACACTGTGAAGACAGTGAAGCATGGTTGCGCAAGCATCATGATATGGGGATGTTTCTCATACTACGGTGTTGGGCCTATTTATCGCATACCAGGGATCATGGATCAGTTTGAATACATCAGAATACTTGAAGAGGTCATGCTGCCTTATGCTGAAGAGGAAAAGCCCTTTAAATGGGTGTTCCAACAAGACAACGTCCCCAAACACACCAGTAAACGTGCAACATCTTGGTTCCAGGTCAAGAAGATTGACGTTATGGAGTGGCTAGCTCAATACCCGGATCTTAATCCAATAGAAAACTTGTGGGGTGACATCAAAAATGCAGTTTATGAGGCAAAACCAAGAAATAGAGAAGAACTGTGGAATGTAGTCCAATCATCCTGGGCTGGAATACCTGTTCACAGGTGCCAGAAGTTGGTTGACTCCATGCAACACAGATTTACAGCAGTTCTCAGAAACAGTGCTTATACAACTAAATATTCATTAAGTGATTCAAAGGAAAGCAAAATCTTCAAACATTTTTCAGTTTATATAGTGAATGTTTGAGTTTGTAAAGAAGAATACAAACTGCTATTTTTTTGAACAGTCTAATATTCACTTTTCTTCAATTTTTTTAGAGGAACAACACAAATTTTATATATTTTTCTTCATGTTTTGATTTGGAATAGAATGTGTAGTGTTCCCAATGCATTTGTGTGGATGGAAATAAAAGCTATTAGAAGGATTTTGAGCTTTATTCACGTTTTTCAACACACTGCTATTATTTCGAACACAACTGTATGTCTGAATACTGAAGATAAGTTCATATTTGCCAATATAACTACTTTACACCAGAGTCTTATATGTGTCAAATATTTTACTTTGCATGAATACAGTGATTTGCATTATCTGCTTAGCTTGGTTTCTGTAGTATTGATTTATGAAAACTGGGCCACAGACACTTTTCTTTCAGTACACATATAACGTTTGTTGAAGATTTTGTTGCTATACAACAACCCAATTAATACACTGCTCAAAAAAAATAAAGGAACACTTTGAAAACACAGAAGAAAAATATAATTCTGGATATCTATAGTGATATGGACTGGGTAATGTGTTAGCAATGTAAGGATGCCCCATCATTTGATGGAAAGTAAAATTATCAACCTACAGAGGACTGAATTCAAAGACACCCCAAAAATCAAAGTAAAAAAATGATGCAGCAGGCTAGTCCATTTTCCTGAAATTTCATTGCTCCTGCTCCTGGACAGTCTGAGGTGCAACCTGGGCGGCGGCGGATGGACCAAAACATGATCTCCCAGAGGTGTTATATTGGCTTTAGGTCAGGCAAGCGTGGGGACCATTCAATGGTATCAATTTCTTCATCCCTCAGGAGTTGCCAGCATACTCTCACCAAATGAAGTTGTGCACCAGGAGGAACTCAAGCGCCACTGCACCAGCGTAGGGTCTGATAATGGGTCCAAGGATTTCATCCCGATACCTAATGGCAGTCAGGGTGCCATTGTCTAGCCTGTAGTGGTCTGTTCATCCCTCCATGGATATGCCTCCCCAGACAATCACTGATCCACCACCAAAACAGTCATGCTGAATGATGTTACAGGCAGCATAATGTTCTCCTCGGCTTCTCCAGACCCTTTCGCATCTGCACATGTGCTCAGGGTAAACCTGCTCTCATCTGTGAAAAGCACATGGCGCCAGTAGTGGACCTGCCAATTCTGGTGTTCAATGGCAAATGTCAATCGAGCTCTATGGTGCAGGGCAGTGAGTACTGGGTCCACTAGAGAACGTCGGGCCCTCAGGCCATCCTCGTGAAGTCTGTTTCAGATTGTTTGGGCAGAAATATTCACACCAGTGTCCTGCTGGAGGTTATTTTCTAGGGCTCTGGCAGTGTTCATCCTGTTCTTCCTTGCACAAAGGAGCAGATACCGGTCCTGCTGATAGAATAAGGACCTTCTACAGCCCTGTCCAGCTCTCCTAGAGTTACTGCCCGTCTCCTGGAATCTCCTCAATGCTCTTGAGACTGGGCTGGGAGACACAGCAAACATTCTTGCAATGGCATGTATTGATGTGCCATCCTGAAGGAGTTGGACTGCCTGTGCAACCTCTGTAGGGTCCAGGTATCACCTCATGCTACCAGTAGTGGCACCGACCCTAGCCAAATGCAAAACTAGTGAAAAACAGTCAGAAAAGATGAGTAGGGGAAAAAAATGTTAGTAGCCTCCACCTGTAAAACCATTCCTGATTTAGGGTCGTCTATTTGTTGCGCAACTAGTGCACCATTAACACCAAAGCAGCTGAAACTGATTAACAACCCCATATGCTACTTACTGTATTTGTAATATGTTTTTTTATTATAGACTTGATCATGACTAAAACAATATAATTTAAAAATATTTTACTAACTACTTAGAAAGATAAATATGAAATATTGCATTTGAATATACAGTATGTACAAAAGGTGAAGATCTATGGTCCTTTTTACATGTTTTCTAAGCTAATCTTAATTGTTTTGTTCAATATAGCCTGTTGAATAATAAGTTGAAGCTCAGATTGCACACATAGCGGAATGAACCAGAAGAGTGACTTATCCCCTCTGTTTCCTCCGTTTGAAAATAAAACAGCTATTGCTGTGCTTTCTCTATAGTAAAGGTATAATGGTCTACAAAACCTGTCTCTTCAGCTCAAGCTGTAGTAAATGTTTACTTGTAAAAGTTACAAGATGCAGGACTGATGTACAAGGTGGGATTTCTGAAAGATCTTTTTTCTTTGAGACTGTTATGCAAATACACACACTTGGATCGACAGTACATGCATATACAATATTTGTTCATGGATGTGAAAGGGGAAGATCGGTACACTCAGTATACCCAGTTAACCACTTCAAGTCTGGACACATTCACCCCCTTCCTGTCCAGGCCAATTTTCATCTTTCAGCGCTATCACACTTTGAATGACAATTGCGCGGTCATACAACACTGTACCTATATGAATTTTTTAGCAATTTTTTGAGACAGATAAAGCTTTATTATGGTGGTATTTATTCACCACTGTGATTTTTATTTCTTTTGCTATATAAATGAAAATGTCCAAAAATGTTGAAAAAAAGTGTTTTTCTTATAAAAGTTAGCAAATAAATAATATTTCATCCTAAATCTTGGCCAAAATTTATTCAGTTATCTTTTTAGTAAAAAAAAATAACCCAAATTAGTTTACAACCAAAAATTATAATTTTTAAAAACATTTTTTTAAATTTTTTTTATATTATTTGTTTTGTTTTTTTACATACTGTCACCCTAGCAGTACAGTATCATGATGGAAACACTGTACTACTTGTGGGGGTGATGACTTTTTTTTTTTTTAACACTGATTGCTTTTACACCTATAAAGGCTGTAAAAGCAATAATTTCTCATTCTCTCTGGCTGCATTCTTGCAGCCATTGAGAAATACTGTGTGAGCTGTGATTGGTCACAGCTTGTCACATGGTACAAGGCTGTGGTGAATAGCCTTGTACCATGTGACCTCTGATCATTCACAGATTTCACACATAGTAAGCAATGATGTCAGAAGTGACATCTTGCTTACTACTCTGCATGTGATCACTGATTGACCAATCAGTGATCACATGATTGGGACCTCGCACAGAGGTCCCATATGACGATCGGTGGACACAGGGAGTGCGCACAGTCCAAAATGGCGGGCGCCGTTTATGAACGGCAACCCGCCCATGGACTGCCACCGTCCGCCTGTTTATATACAGCGGCCGGGCGGAAAGTGGTTAAGATATAAGGGGAAGTAGTATTTTGTATTTCTAATGTAAGAAGTGGGAATAGGCCATAATTATCCTATGACATTAGGGGTCTTTAAACCGCCTCCCACCCGCCATCCTCAGAGGGGACATGTACACTGATCATCAGGGCACTGATGATCAGTGTGCCCTGATGATCAGTGTAGTCCCAGCAGCGCCACCTGTCAGTGTCCATCAATGCCAGCTGTCAGTGCTCATCAATGCCGCCTGCCAATGCCCATCAGTGCCCATCAATGCCACATATCAGTGCCCATCTGAGCTGCCTTTCAGTGTCACCAATCAGTGCCAGTCAGTGCCACCAATCAATCGATGCTGTCAATCGGTGCCACCTATCAGTGCCAGTCAGTGCCGCCTATCAGTGCCAGTCAGTGCCACCTACCAGTGCGCATCAGTGCTGCATATCAGTGCCAGTCAGTGCTGCCTATCAGTGCGCATCAGTGTCGCCTATCAGTGCCCATCAGTGCCACCTATCAGTAAGGGCCTATCAGTGCCATATATGAGTGCTGCCTTTCAGTGCCGATCAGTGATGCCTGTCAATGCCCATCCGTGCCACCTACCAGTGCCTCCTCATCAGTGCCCATCAGTGCAGCCTATCAGTGCCCATCACTGCAGCCTATCAGTGCCCATCACTGGAGCCTATCAGTGCCCATCACTGCAGCCTATCAGTGCCCATCACTGCAGCCTCAGTAGCGCACATCAGTGAAGTAGAAAATTCACTTATTTACAAAATTTTAAAACAGAAACTAAGAAAAAAACTTTTTTTTTTTTTAATTTTCAGTTGTTTTTGGTTTGTTTAGCAAAAAATAAAAAACCCAGAGGTGATTAAATACCACCAAAAGAAAGCTCTGTCTAAAAAAAAATGATAAAAATTTAATATGGGTACAGTGTTGCATGACCACACAATTGTCATTCAAAGTGCAACAGCGCTGACAGCTGAAAATTGGCCTGGGCAGGAAGGGGGTATAAGTGCTCTGTAGGCAAGTGGTTAAATAGCACATATCTAGTAAATCTGAACTCTAAATTCACAGAGCCATGCATTTGCAAGTTTGGTGAGTCTGCTTCATCAGATCACTGCTCTGTGTACAGAGATTTGTGATTGGACACAGCCAATCAGCAGGTCCTAGCTCTAAATCATTGGTCGGGACCTGCTGACAAAATTGTGCTGTGTCCAACAACAGAGCAGATCAACAGTCGCATGTGCTCCCCAGAAATAGAAGCAGGCTTGCAACCTTTATTTACGCTGCTGAGCCTGCAGCTACCATCCTTTCACAACAGTTCTACTGTGACAGGGCAGAAAGTGGTTAAGAATACCACTCCTGCATTACAATCAGGTAAACTAAAAGAATCCCTGAATAACTATTGTGGTGTGAATTAATGTCATTAATTAGTATTTAATTTTTATTGGAGTGTGCCTTTAACCTCCTCGGCGGTCTGATTAATTCCGATTTTTTGTGCTGAAAGCGGTACCATTTTTTTGCATGGAAATATGTAGTTTTTTTTAATGTACAGTTGCAAGAAAAAGTATGTGAACCCCTTGGGATTACGTGGAGTTTTGCATGAATTGGGCATAAAAATGTGCTCTGAACGTCATCTAAGTCACAACAATAGAAGAACACAGTCTGCTGAACATAATACTACACAAACATTAGATGTTGCCATGGTTTAATTGCACATAACATGTAAACATTCACAGTGCAGGGAGGAAAAAGTATGTGAACCTTTGGACTTAATAACTGGTTGACCCTCCTTTGGCAGCAATAACCTCAACCAAACGTTTCCTGTAGTTGCAGATCAGACCTGCACAATGATCAGGAGTAATTTTGGACCACTCCTCTTCACAAAACTGTTTCAGTGTAGCAATATTTTTGGGATGTCTCGTGTGAATCGCTCTCTTAAGGACATGCCACAGCATTTCAGTCGGGTTGAGGTCAGGACTCTGACTGGGCCACTCCAGAAGGCGTATTCTGTGCTGTTGCAGCCATTGTTTTGTTGAATTACTTGTATGCTTTGAGTCATTGTCCTGTTGCATCACCCATCCTCTGCGGAGCTTCAGTTGGCGGACAGATGGTCGTCTGTTTTCCTGCAAAATGTCTTGATAAACTCTGGAATTCATTTTCCCATCAATGACAACAATCCGTTCAGGCCCTGAGGCAGCAAAGCAGCCCCAAACCATGATGCTCCCTCCGCCATGTTTTACAGTGGGGATGAGGTTTTGATGTTGGTGTGCTGTGCCTTTTTTTCTCCACACATAGTGTTGTGTGTTCTTCCCAAACAACTCAATCTTGGTTTCATCTGTCCACAGTATATTTTGCCAGTAGTGCTGTGGAACATCCAGGTGCTCTTTTGCAAACTTCAAACGTGCTGCAATATTGTTTTTGGACAGCAATGGCTTCCTCCGTGGTGTCCTCCCATGTACTCCATTCTTGTTTAATGTTTTCCTTATTGTAGATGTGTCAACAAAAATGTTAGCATGTGCCAGAGATTTCTGTAGGTCTTTAGCTGACACTCTGGGATTCTTCTTTACCTCATGCAGCATTATGCGCTGTGCTCTTGCAGTCATTTTTACAGGACGACCACGCCTAGGGAGAGTAGCAACAGTGCTAAACTTTCTCCATTTGTAGACAATCTGTCTTACCGTGGACACATGAACATCAAAGCTTTTGGAGATACTCTTGTAACCCTTTCCAGCTTCATGCAAGTCAACAATTCTTGATCATAGGTCTTCTGAGAGCTCTTTTCTGTGAGGCATGGTTCACATCAGACAGTGCTTCTTGAAACCAGTAAACCCAAAACAGGTGTGTGTTTTTTTAAGGGCAGGAAAGCTGTCAGCAAGACATCCAATATCATCACACTGATTGGAGTCAAGGTTGGTTCACTCCTGGCTCCAATTAGCTCTGGGAGAAGTCATTAAGCTAGGGCCTCACATACTTTTTCCTCCCTGCACTGTGAATGTTTACATGTTATGTGCAATTAAACCATGGCAACATCTAATGTTTGTGTAGTATTACGTTCAGCAGACTGTGTTCTTCTATTGTTGTGACTTAGATGACGTTCAGAGCACATTTTATGCCCAGTTCATGCAAAACTCCACGTAATCCCAAGGGTTCACATACTTTTTCTTGCAACTGTAGGCTGTAATTTTTAGGAATAACTCACTGAAATCTGTCCGAACAAGAGTCTGGTAAACATTCCAGGTATGATAAAACTTGAAACACGAAATCATAAATTATAATTTAATAAATACTCATAAAAAGTAATATAATAATAATATAATAATAATACATTTAATTCAATAATATAATCAAACCAAAACCACTGAAATTTGAAATACAGAGGCAAATTCACTGAGCAAAGTCGCAAAATCGTTTTCAGTGTCTGATGACGAATTTCCCCACAAATCATTATCACTCAATTCTGCAAGTGGTTCTGATTTACTATCGCTGTTCTCTAGATGGTCTACAACCGCTTTTGACGTAAAGGGACGCTTTTTGGACGCCATGGACTTTTCTAAGTTTCCAGGCAGAAAGAACAGTCAAAATGCAGGCAGAGCACAGGACAAAGCAGTAGGGACAAAAAATATGTGAAATGGTTTGAAACAGCAATGTTTTACTATATAATAATCATTTTAAAAAAATGATATTTTTTAAAAATTTCAAATTTGCCGCCGGTTCCAGTGCCCGTACGTTCCGAAGTCACAGGGACCGGAACACAGAAGCCGGATGCCGGCATCAGCAGGAGGAGACACATCGCAGGAGCGAAGGACAAGGTAAGTGCTGCAGGGACTCCCTGAGCAACGCCGCATGGTAAGCCCGAGTGTAGCTCGGGGTTACCGCTCTTGGTACTGAAATTTTACCCCGAGCTACACTCGGGAATACCTCCAAGGAGGTTAAACAGTAAATAATTTTGAGTCTGCATCTTTACACAAATGATAAAAACGAAGCATAGGCTAAACCTAATCTCCTCTTTTTACTTTTATACAACGTATTTTGTTATGAGGACTTAGTTCTGTCTTGCTCTTACATTTGTCACATTATTATTATTATCATACAGTATTTATAAAGCGCAAATAGTTCGCTCAGCGCTGTACATTACAATGGGAGACAGAACATGCGACAGTACAATAACAATACAATGCGATACATTGGACGTGTATATTTTTAGAGTGAATTGTCTGTCATGCAGAATGTAAGCCAACAATGAGTCTCAACCACATGTCCTGTCCGTTATATTGCAGACTGAAACTACATTACATAAATTGCTGGAAGCATTTCATAATTAAAACATTTACAGTAAAGTAATGCTGAAGACTAAACAAACCACTGGGAGGTAGAGTTTTTAGGAGAAGAAACATGGGGGTTGATTTACTAAAGGTAAATAGGCTTGCCATTCACTTTGCAAGGGAATTTCTCCTTAGCTTAGGGAATGAGATGAAGCTCTGCTGACTTCCATCATTTAATCATGTGCAAACAAAAATATGTTTTTTCCTGTGCTCATCAAATCACCCGCTTTGCATGTCTTCTCTGCCAAAAAATGTGTTTATTTTCCTATTAGCACTTTTTGGTGTACAATGCTGGCACATGCACCATTCAGTTTACAGTCAGCTTACAGATGCTGAGAATGAGGCGGGTGTTGGAACAATGTAATGTTAAATCACATGCACAAGAGTGATACATTATCAGCGCCTATAGGATCATGGCAGCTCTAACAGGAAGCTCAGACTTGAAGGAGTGCAAACCCAGAGGTAGTTGGCCATGACATACAAATTGCTATACATACTTGCTCATTATGGCAAGAGCTACCACCTTTGCCACACTAAACTTCTGTTATAATAATTATGTATCTTCAAAAAGTATAATCTCAAGTTTCATTGGGCTTTATTCAATGAGGCATTTGTTTTTTTGCGCCTACATCCTTTCAGCAGCATGTAGCGCTCCTGCTCTATCACAGTTGCGGATCTCATTCCAGGATCCTGGTTTTGGCTGTGATGCATTCTCCCTGTATGCTTGTCTACCTGCAAGGTGATTGATGTAGCCAGTCTCTGGGTGGAGACCAAACCTGATTTAAGACAGCCAAGCCTGCAGTCTCATGCTTGTAATATTGTGTTTTAACACATGCTCCAAGCTCCCTGCTTGTCTGCTTTGCTCTGCCTTGTTGACAACTTTGGATCGGATATCAAATACACTCAGAACTCAGCCTACTCTGAACCCAGACTGTCACTGACCACTCTGGCTGTCTGCTAACCACAAGTACCTCTTTGCTCAGTTTAGGTACCTGTTCACCGTGCTTAGTTCTCACCTGCCCCAATGTGGTAGCCTGGCAAGATAGACCTTAGGAAACCAAGTACCGAAAGGCCTGCTTGCCTTATAGGAAAGGGGGCTGCTATAGGGAAAAACCACAGAAGTCAGCTTTAGTGCATGACCACCTGTGTTAGAGGTAAGCGTAACGTTATCACAAGCCTTTAACAAGAACATT